GGGGCTGCTGCAGGGTACACACATGGCAAACCACTCGTCAGAGCTGGCCTCCTTCCAACCCGCTGTAAAATTTTAATGACTGCTCCCCTGCTACACTAAGTCAGAAACAGAAAAAGGGCAAGGACCACAGGTGCTCTTTTGTAACAATAAATAAACATAATCTTTTAAAAACAAGAATATAAACTTTACACATTCAAAATACAATATACACGCCCCTGTAAGTGTGACCCCTTGCTTACAGCAACACAGCAAGCTGAGCTTAACCCTTCCCCTCTACTCTGGGCACAGCGGCTGCCTCTGAGCCTCTAATCAGACCATCAAATTTGGCAGAATCGAGTAACAAATGTTGAACCACCCTTTTAGCCAATGAGTTATCCCTGTGAAGAACAGCAAGCATCAATCTTGCAAAGATACTGGGCTGAACTAATTTCTGTTGCGATGCGACAAGATTTTAGGCTTGAGCCATATTGTATCAACTGAGAACGTTTTATATCATCTGCCACCTACAAAAAGAACAACTTTTAGGGATTCTCTCATTAAGACCACAACAGCAGAAGTTAACAATATATACAAATTAAGTTTTATCAGTTTTCTATAATGCAGAAAACAAAAAGAGATTCCATAAAAAGGATTTCTTTGTTCTCAAACTTCACTTAGAAACTTGGCATAACATAACGTTGTTCTGTAGCATCAGTAAAGTTCACTAACAAAAGACCTTGCTGTACACTGTAAATAAACAAAGTGTTCAACAGTTCCGCTGCCCTTGTTCATGTGCTGTTTAGTTGACCCTGTCTTTCGGTTTCAGCCTTTCTCTCTTGCCGGTGGTTAACTGCAGCCCAAAACGTTATCTTTTTCAGCACTTGCTGCAGAAGTTTGGATGGCAAGCACGGTATTTGATTCTTCAGGAGGGCTGCATTTTTACCGATGCAGTCAAGACACAACCTGGAAAAAGTAAAAGGGTAAATAAATAAAATAATCTATAAAAGGATAAATAAATAGTCTATAACCTAAATATAATACAGTAACACATGTAAAAGTTTCTTGTGGTAAAGTTAATGTCATACTGTTAATGATGTGGAGAAGAAACAATAATACCATGTTTGGCTTAACCGATATGTATCATCATACATTGCAAACTTCATGTATTTACTGAAATAGTGATTTTCTAACTTAACTACTGATGTGAGAGTAAATGGTTAAGAACCTGTCCGTAAAAACCTGGTGATTCTTTGCGTCAATAAGCTCAACTCACCTGAGGAGTGAATAAGGCTGAGTCTGAAATATCAGCAAATCACTACAGTGACCCTGTCAAGATGGAAAAAAGAACCATGAAGATTACCAAGATAACAGCTCATCTCAAAAATTAATTGGATTAATGCAGCACTTACATATATAATTTTAAAAAAGAATTAAATAATCATTTTATAAGGAGTCTGAGTAGCAAACTCCTTTCTGTGAGCATAGCAAAGGCAGAAAAAGCCTGCATAAATAGTCTTTCAAAGACAAGGTCACATCTTTACAACAGCTCAAATGATCTCAGCAGTTATATTAACTTTAATTATTTTTGTTACTTATTATAGTGCTATAAATTCATTAAGTTTACTGACTGTATCCATAAAATGCAAGTCATCTTTGCTTCCACCGAACACCATCACTTCTCCTTCTTTTCCAAGGCAGGCTGTATGCCAGAGTCTAGAAATAAAATTACAAATAGACTTAGTGACCGAATATCAACAGAAAGCAATCGTATATTATCAGCTAAAACTAAATGTTTTAAGGGGCATAGGGTAATAGTACGTTTACTTAATATTAACCTCATTCACCTCACATCTCTTTATTCTTCATATTGAAGTTTCTTTTCAAACAACTCTTTTGTTACAAGGATGAAAGTTCCTTTTAATTAAAATGGAAAGGTCACCTTTTAAATCATACAATTCCACTACTTATGCACAGAGATGTGAAGTCTACTCTACTTACCAAGAGTAATTTTACAATTTTAAGAGTATTTTTACATGTTGCTCTATGAGCTGTAAAAACATATTTTTTTTCTTAAAATATATTTGTCTCAATTCATTTGTGCCTTCCATTCTTTGCTTTCTAGTAAGTACTAAGTGCTCACTGCAGTAACATAATTAGAGTCTCTCTTGTTTGTTTAGCCATTTCTTTGCCCAGATTTTGTGCACAAATATTTCTTTGTCAAAAATTACCAAAATGGGTTAACTGATTCAAAGGATGCAGGGGAAGGAGAGGCAGACATCCGCACACAGAGCACCTTCATGTAAATCCTATTATTTAGAGAACTAATACAAATGTGATTATTTCAAAAATTTTCAATGCTAAAAATAAGACCTAAATTATTATTCGCTTCTTAAACAATAAAAAAGAACAAAGTGACTACCCAGTTTGCAATCATTCAACAAAATGCTCCATTTCATACAGAGCTATATATATATATATATATATATATGCAACGTACAAGTCAGATGGGTCATTTATCAGTACTTCAGGCAAAATTTCACAGTGGGAAATTTTTGTAAAACACAGTAACTATACAAAATGAGCTTCTGTAAAGTTTTTGTTTATTTTAAAACATTTTCCCTATTTAATTAATAACTATAGTAGCAATGGATTTAAAATTGTGGGCTTTTCAATACCGGTTTTTATCCCCGAACACTAAGATGAGAGCTTCACAACACAGGTTCTTCTGCATCAGTTTTATGCTTCTCCCAAACGTTCAGGTAGACCATTTTCTGTGCAGGATAATTTCTTAAACCATGCCCACAAGTGACTTTGTGGTCTGCCTATAAATGCAGACCATATAAACAACAAGCTAATTTGTATGCTCTTGCTCTAGCACTCAGTCAGCTACTTTGGTAGCTACAATTTATGGTTATTTACTTTATAGCAGATCAAAATCTATTATTTTTCTACTGGTCTGTCACAACTGAAGTATATCACAGGATAATTATCACCACAGAGCTATGGCCTCTTGCGTTTACATCACCAAAATAATATGTAAACTAGAATCTTCATGCAAAAACAAATACTCTCATTTTCTTGCTCCATTARTTTCAGTAATTATTCACTGTTCTCCTTAGGCTAAACTGTATCCCACCTTTTCTCTTCCTCATACCTGTGGATAGATCTGTGTCTGTCTTATCTGCATTAGGAAAACTCTGGCCTGGACTTCATCACCGAAGAACACTGGGAAGCCTTTCCTGTCTTGACTTGGTTGACATTCTAGCTTGCAACCTGATGCTTTTTGCTACAGACTGACAGAGTTTATGTCCTCTCACAGCTGCTCTAACTTATCACCTAAACATTCTAATAAAGCATGTTATTTAAATAATACATTAACTGAATCGATGAAACCTTTTTATACAGCTCTTCTGAGTAGAATTACAGTTACATTTTAATGAAAAGACTGCAAATTTATAAGTTAAACATACAACTTGTTTCTATATTTTAACCTTGCATGCAAAGCTTAAGCTGAAGTACAATTTATGGACAAAACCCCATAACAACAATAGGAAAATAAAACATATTTCTACCTACAAATAGTTTAGTACCATAGATCTATGATCTGAGAGACTGTTAGCACATATTACTAAAAATGGAGACTGAAGGAAACTTTAAAGGCCTAATTCTTCAGAGCATTTAAAGAGAGTATCAATTTCACAGAAACAGCATGAAATTCTACTAATTCTACTAACACAGTGCACTATTATAAAATATAACAGAAATATATACAATAAGTGCATATAGAGGAATGATTGCTGCTGCATTTTAAGCCCTGCTGGCAAGGCCATGTGAGCAATGGGCATTAATTAAGGTCTT